TCAATTCCCAGTAGCAAAAAAAAAAAAAAAAAAAAAAAAAAAATTGTATAAAGTGTAACATCTGCCTAGGGCTGAGGCTCTTTTCTGGGTATCCCAGCTGCAGCTCCTTTTCTACATACCAACCTGCCGCAAGGAGGCTGCAAAAGCCTCGTGAGAACTATTGAGCCGAGTCCGGAATTGGCTGCAAATACTCTTGGCCAGCTTGGAGGCACTGAGGCTCTCAATGGCATCCTGGGCCACCTTCCTCTTCCACTCCAGAGTGACAGCAGGTGGGCTCACCCACGCGATGCGCTGGATGATCTGTCAAGATGCGGACAGTGGGATCGCTGAGGACGGAGACAGGAACTTCAAGGTGGCCAGACAATGCCCTCCTTCTCTGGGCTACACACTCTTATGGAGCAGGCTCCTGAGACAGGTGCCACGTGAAGTTCAGGTTCCTCTCCAATTTAGGAAGAACACTAGACCTATTATATCTGCTCACAAACCTTCAACGTCAGGAAGTGCCTGAATCTGAAAGTCGTAAATAGCTCTACACAAGACCCAGCTCTAATTCCAGACCAGAACCATACTGTTGGCTTCTGGCAATGACAACATCTAATTCTTCCAGCAAGCCAACCAGAACCCACGGACAGCAGCTCCGAGGTCTCTCTCAGTTCTCCAGAGTGACTAGGATACACGTGAGCCTACTAAGGACAGGAAATTTTTTCTCTTGCTAATCTCTACCTGTTTGATTTGCTCCCAGAGCATCCGTGTGACTGAGGACCCTGAGTGAAATGTGACTTCAACGTGATAGGCAGCATTTAAGATCTGAAAGAGAACACATAAAAGGAGATAGGCCCTGAGTAGAGTGGCTATTTAAAAATGCAACAAATATTTACTTCCAGAATATAGAGCAGTCTCAAGGTTTCCAAGTTTATCCTTCAGTGTTTCAGAGTCAACTCAAGTTGATCATCGATTTTATGGCTAATGAGGCCCTTTTACATCTTTGTTTCTCAACTATCATTGCACAGCTCACCAGCACCTTCCACAGGCAGTGGTAACATGATAGGAAAAGTAAAATTCAGACCGGGTAGGCAGAGAAATTTTTGGCTGAGTTGAAGTGGGACTGTGTATGAGCTGTTCCACTGCTATCTGTGCCAAGGTCTCATTCTCTGCATACCTGTTTGAGATAATTACTGGTGATGTGAACTGAGATGTCCTGCGACTTCTCCAGGCTCTGCAGACACCGCTCTAAAGTGCCCACAAAGCTCTCACGCAGGTAGTCCACTGAGCTGATCAGCTTGTTAGCCACCGCCTGGTTAAGCCGGGAGATGATGAGTTCCTGGATCTGCCGGATGCAGCATTTGATCTCCCTGGTGCCCACTGCTTCTCCATTCTCGGGGATAATGACATCTGTGGAGGCAGAGAAATGAGCTGGCTGGTGGTGAGGGAGAGGGACAGGCATCTCCTCAGCCACAGCCAATGAACTATCGCGAGGATGGCTATAAAGACATGGCTGGCTGAGGAACTCTGACCTTCAGCATGAGCAGAGAGCGTATACTGTTCACCTCTGTGTGGCAGATAAGGTCCTACGAGAAAGGGGAGGAAAACACTGAGTGTAAACTATGTGAAAGGCACACAAATAATAAACACTCTAAATGTGTACCTCATTTTATCTTCACAATAACTTTGCCAGGTGTGTGCTACTGGTTATAGTTTATAGATTAGGAAACAGTCTGAGACAAAACAAAGTGAGTACTGGGAAGGAGCTGTGTGCTTAGGAAGCAGTACAGCTAGCATTTGAACCCAAAGCTCACCAATTCCAAAGTTTAGGATCTTTACAAACTATCACACTGCCCAGCATATTAATGAGAAGAAGCCAAGAGTCAGGAATTGTATTTTAATCAATTATTAGATAAATAAAAAGCAACACTCATTTATTGGTCCTACCATGCCATACTTCTCAGAATTTAAAAAAATTTGACTTTGTAAGCCTGAGGACACCAGCATTTAAGTAAAAAATGATCACCCCTACAAAGGCATGCTCAAGTTCTCTGGTAGAAACATAAGTCGATACCACCTCTTCAGAGGAGATGGGCAGTTACCTATTGGAATTTTTTTTTTTTTTTTGAGACAGGGTCTCACTATGTAATTGAGACTGACCTGGAACTTACTATGTAGCCCAGGCTGGTCTTGAACTCACAGTGATCCTCCTGCCTCAGCCTCCCAAGTGCTAGTATTATAGGCGTGCACCACCACACCTGGCTGCCTATCAGAATTTTAAACCAACAACCAACAATGAAAAATTCACACACCTTTTAAATTATCTGTCTAGGAATTCTCTTCCTAGAAATATAACCTTACAAATCTCAAAGCCATGTATCTACAATGATGGTCAATGTACACACTTTGTAACAGCAAAAAGAAAAAAAACAGTATGAATGTCATTAGTAAGAGAATAGCTAAATATATTAACTAAGGTTGGAAGAAAACAGACTCTATGTACCTTTTGGGAAAGTGCTCTAAGATATATAGAGAAAAAGTGAAAAAGCAGGATGTAAAAGAACATGCAAGAACTAGATGGTGGGGGGACAGTCTTTTTGTATCTGTGAATTAAGTACTAGGTATGCATATTTTATCTTTTTGTGTGTCTGTGTGTGTGTGTGTACCGGGGATTGAACTAGGGTCCTTGCGCTTGCAAGGCAGGCTACTGAACCGCTGAGCTAAATCCCCGGCCCTATTTTATCATTTTTAAAGCAGTAAGTATCATTTACACAGGATGCATGTAGTCAGCCTTATATTTAAAGATAAATAACACCAATGCAAATCTGGCAGCTCTCTTAAGTCTACTTACTATTGCCCCAAGAGTACTCAGAACAGACTCAGAACATGGTAAGAACCAGACATGCAAGCGATACCTACCATGCAGCCCCTAGGTAAGGACATCCACAAGTCCACAGTGCAGTCGACAGGGTCAGACACTGGGTCTCCTCATTCCCAGGTGGCTTCATGTCTCTTTCGGTAACCACCTTATCCCAGGCACCAAATGTTATGCCCGATACAATACAGACAGTTCCCATTTCCTTGTCTGCCCAACCCAGCTGCCTCATGCGTACTGCAATGCATATTGATGCTCCAGAGTCCTTAACTAAACATGAGAGGATTTCCTAGAATTTCACTGCAAGTGAGCATTTCTTAGCCACTCCTTTCTGCAGTGGAAATTTAGCAAAGGCACATCTTGCTCATCTTTAGAAAGACTAATAAGAAATGGGACATCTTATCTTTGATAAAGTCAATTTCATTTCCTTCGTATTTGTAAGTGTGACATAGCTAGAGAGCCATTATTCACAGACTTACTCATTCCCCAGGATGTACTGCATCCAAGAGTCTGTCAGCATGGCCCAGGTGCCCTCACTGCGGTAGCTCAGCGGTACAGCATTTGCCTTGTATGCATGAGGCACTGGGCTTCATCCCCAGCAGTGCCACCCCCCAAAACCACAAAGTCTGGGTCTGCCTTGTATAGATAATCCTGTAGGAGTGCAGATAAGAGCTACTGTTGGTAGCTAAAAACTTAAAGATGACTACAAAAGATGGCTTGGAGAGGCCTTGAAGGATAGGTACGTAGGATTTGGAAATTCACAAATAAAAAACTTTCAAGCTTCAGGCAAGGTGTGAGCAAAGAAAAGGTGAAGGGAGTGTACGGAAGACAGCAAGAAGGTAAGACCAACCCAAATAAAAATTACAGGAAGGTGCAGAGTAGGAAATAAAGACTGGCAAAGTTGGGAAGGGCCAGGCTTTGGAAGATCTGTGTGCTAGGCTGAAGAGTTTAAACTTAATCTGTAGGAACAGGAAGCCAGTAAAGTACAGAGAACAGAAGTCAGAGGGATGATTAGGTAACAGAAGTTCAATGAAAGACATGGCACAGAAAAGCACGTGTGGATATGAGCTGCAGAAGAGGATTCATCAGTACTGGGAAACTGATTAGGCACGGGAACACAGTAAACAGACAGTTAAAGACACGTCAAGGTTGCAAAACTGGATACCAGAAGAAGTAGCATCGACAACTGGAAACGATGAAGAAGCAGTGAAAGCTGGGCTTGGTTGGGCACAACAGTAATCCCATGCTCTGGGAGGCTGAGGCAGGACAACCAAAGTTTGAGCCCAGTCTGAGCAATTTAGCAACTCAAAAAATTAACTCAAAATTTAAAAAACAAAAAAAATTTTGTTCTATAAAAAGGGCTGGAGATGCAGCTCAGAAAGTCCTGGGACAATTCCCAGTACTGGAGGGTGGGGTCAGGAATGGGGAGAGAGTAAAATATAGAAATTAAAAGTACAAGCTAAGGAACCAGACTACCTAGATTTAATCCTGCCTCTCCCACTTACTAGCAAATTATTTAACTCTTTTAAGCCTTAGTTCCGTCACTTAAAAAATGAAAATAAGCAAAACCCACCTAAAGAGGATCCTGAAAAACATGGAAGTTAGGTCCTGTGTCAGAAATCCTGATTAAGTGTTTAGTAGTCTTGAGCACCAGTATTTTCGGGAGGCCTCCCAGGTGATTTGGGTGTATGCGGTGACTGCAAATCTAAAGAGTAACCTGCAAACGGTGCCAGTTTAATTACAGGGTAGTACACTGGGTCCCTGCACGGAGGTTCAGACAGCAGTCAGTATACAGAGTCAGCAGCATCTAACCCTCAGACACCAAAAGATCTGACCAATTGCTTTTGCCCAAATGCATTAAACAGCCATTTGTGAAGAACAGAACTGCCAGAAAAGCTAAGCCATCACTTTGGGAAATGCTCCTGACTTACATTCAGGAGCATCCTGAAAAGAAAACGAGACCCTGAGAATAAAAAGATGGAGCTGGGGGTGGCTCAGTGGCACAGTGCCTGCCTCCACGGGTGAGGCCCTGGGTCTGATGCCTACCACTGCTAAATACATACACAACAAGGGCACCTGGGCCGTACTGACAAAGCAAAGGTTAAAGCATGACACAGCAATTCTTCAACAGCTCTTCCCCAGCTCCGCTGGTGACTGGAAATCCAGAAAGAAAGTGGAGATTAGCGTTATTAGGATGAATTTACCAAAAGTTAATGCTAACTAGGGAAGGACAGTGGAATCTTCCAGGAAGGTCACTCAGAGCAACCTGGTGCCTTGGCTAAATGACTTCAGGTGGGCTCCTACTGTAACCTTAAGAATCAAAAGAGGGCCGGGATTTAGCCCAGTAGCAATGCACCTGCCTTGCAAGCACAAGAGTTCAATCCAGGTACCAAAAAAAAAAAAAAAGAATCAATGAAACCAATTTCCAGTTAGAAAAGAGCTGGAGCTCCTATCACAGTGCCCCATCAAACTCTCCAGGACCTACCTTTAAACTCCATGTTGGTAGCATCTTCCAGAAGTTCTTCCTTCATGGTGTTAAGAGTCTCAACAATCATATCCTTCATCTCCTCCTGCTTTCGGTTAGCAATATTCATCAGTGACTCATACAGCTCGTTCTCTTTCTTCCGAGTGTATTCCAGCCTTTTGGGAGTAATCTGCAAGTCCCGCTGCATATCAAAGGCCTGGTTAATGAAGATGTCAAGGCAGTGGCAGTGCACCAGGTTCAGGGCCGTGGCCGCATCCACCAGACGAGCCTGCAGCAGCTGGTGAGAGAATGTGCTCAAGTGTCTCAGCTTCTCACTCTGCTCCACCAACATGCTCAGAGCTTTGGTGGCCTGGCCAGGGGCCCCACAGTTGCAGTGTGTGGCGCTCAGATAGCCCAGGTCAACGAGCTGGCGATACAGAGGTGATCTTTCACTCTCTGTTCTGGGAGCGGAGTCTATTATCTCCATCTTCGGCACTTTGAAAAAGAATATGGGGAAGGAGAAATACTTTCGGATTTCCTGAAGCTCTTGCTCATCCCTCTGAGAGAGTTCACCTTTGTGGAGTGCATAGGTTATCACAGGCAAGAAATCATTCACCAAGTCACCCAGAACATCTACTGTGGGCCGGAGGCCTTGGCACGGTGCCACCACAATGTCCACTTCCTGGAAGGGGAATGGGGTCATATCAGCACTCAGAGTCAGAACCAATCCTTGTCTTCCCAAAGTCCCACACCGAGACCAAAATCCAGATCTGTGTTGGAGCAATGGACTTCGGTGTGCCCAGTCATCTGTCCACCTCCCTCCTTGGCTGCTAACACTCCCTGTGCAGCCTATGAAGGCAGGCACTCATCAAGAGAGAGTAAAAAACAAGCTAAGCAGAAAGGATGCAGTCCCTTTAGCCACTTCAGCAAAAAAAGAGTATTTAGCCCCTGACTATCTTTGTTGCTTGGAAATTCCCATTGATTCCCTCTGATGAAGAAATAAGAAAATAATAGAAGAAAAGGGAAACATTATGGAAATTATCAGACTTGGAGTTGATCGACTGGAACATGCCTTCCCCTCATGTCTTCCTCTTCCTACACCCCCACCCCAACTCTGATCTGGTTCCAAAGCATTCTTTAAATCTCGCTATGTAGGCCTTATCACAGCCTTAAGTCACAAAATCCCAAGTGCTCTTTATTTCCTTTATTAAAGGTCAACATATTTAAAATTTACTTATTTAAAACCCATTTTGTTTCTCATTAGCCTATAAACCCTTGGAGGGGAAGGACCATGCTCAAGTTACTATTATAACCCCAGCGCCTAGCATATAAGTCCTCTATACTGTTGAACCAATCAATTATCCACCAACTAAAAGCCAAGTTCACCAAACAAGGCTATGTTCCTATTCCAAAATTATGCAGGTATCCCAAAGTCTAGCCATCTAAGTCTTAGTAATACCCTCAGGAATATGATCACTTAGGGCTAGGGATTTAGCTCAGTGTTGCTGCAAAAGCAAGGTCCTGAGTTTGATCCCCCCCTGGGGACGGGTATATGATCACTTGGTATGGCAGAAACTAAGGTCTGCCTAGCCAATATTTAGCTTCTCTATTTTTTGAAAAGCAATGTTCTTTACAGATGGGGTGGGGCTTCCAGGAAAGCTTTCTGGAATGGGGTGGGGGTGGAGGTCCTACCAGGAAGTAAGCCCTTTGACTCTGCCCATCTTCCTGCCTGGAGTGCAGAAGTGACAGCTACAGCAGCAGTGACTTACAACTGTATCGAAGGAGGCAAACCTGAGGATGGGCTGCCACTAAGGGAGAAGGAGCCCAAGTCCATGCCCACTACAGAGCTGTCATGGCAGTTCTCAACTGCCTAGCTGCAGACTTTTAAAAGAGGAAAGAAAATTTTGCCTCTGCCTTATTTAAGCTCTTCTGTGATGAGCTATTACACAGGACTGAACTCAGACTTGTCTGATATGCTCAAGTTGCTAAAGTTTCCAGAATGACCTCTGGTTTAGAAACAAACCTTCCACAGGTCTATTTCCTCACCTATAGTTTCTGTTTTTGTTTTCTACTTCTTCTCAGAGGCGTTTCTGAGCACTTAAGAGCACATGTTTCTATCCACTGAAGAGGCTGCTCCTCTTATCTCTGCAACTGTCTGTGTAAAGGGGGGCTAGGGACTCGGGTCTCAGTCACTAGTGTGGGTACATGTCTCAGTGTCTTCAGAACTCTGCAAACCAAATCCTCTACAGCACTTGAGTGTTCAACAGTTTATTTGAAATCTAGAAGATACATAATTTTATTTTCTTTCAGACTAATATCCACTTTTACTCCTTACATTATGGAGGCAGCAGGTATTTTTGATGAAGGGTGTTTAAAAGTAAAATCCTGAAATCTTTTCCTTTTTAATATCCTTCTCTTAATACAAAAGAACTGGAAAATGCCAGCCTATTACATCTAGCATGTGTTTTCCACTGATGCTGACAGCCAGCCGGTGCATGTATGTTGTTTTTTGTTGTCTTCTTTATCTTTTCCATTCCTAGCAAAACACAATGGTCTCACCTTCTTTCCAGCAGAGAACTAAGCTTTATTTGCAGGTAGATCGCACGATGTGCATTTGGCTGGCCACTTTAAACTCCCAAAAGCTGAAGCACTTTCACTATCCCCTCATTTGTAATTTGAGCAAAACCTGCCTAAATCCACCTTCTCACCAAAGCCCAGGCTAAGAGGAATTTGTTGTTTCACCCTTGCCTCACATTGCAGGGACTATTTTCTGGTTGAAAAACTAGTCTGATGCTCACCTTGCTGCTCACAATAACCTCTTTCAAGGCCCTGCGTCACACATGCTACGGTGTGAACAACTTCGGAGAGACTTTTCAAAAAGCTGATAGTAAGAAATTTCAAGGTTTAGAATGAAACATAAAATTCCATAAATAATCACATAAGCTAATTAGATAAAGACTAAAAAGGATCTCAAGAAATGAAAATAGTAGAGAATTACAGGTAGAAAAAAATTTTTTTTAGAAGCGTCTCACTATGTAACTTGCAATCCTTCTGCCTCAGCCTCCACTAGTACAGGGATTAAAGGTACGCACCACCTCATCTGGCTAGAAAAAAAATTTTTGGCGCTAGAGATCAAACTCAGGACCTTGTGCTTACAAGGAAGATGATGGAACTACTGAGCTGCAGCCCCTAGAAAAATATTTATATTGCAAAGCTCTCCTAAACATATACAATTTTTAAAGATACAAATCAAACAATCAAATTAGTATGGAACTAAATCTTAAATATTCAAAATCAAGGTATCATTTTAAAACTTTTCAGAAGGAATTTTGTTTTGCTTATTTGGAGTTTTTAAAAACTACAATAAATTTTGAGGTTTTTTTCAAAGAACCATTTTGTGTATGCCAAACCACTAAGTCCCTTTGTAAGACCTATACCTCTTCTAAGAAGTGCAAATACACTGTTCACATAAAGCAGATGCAAGGCTTTCTAATTATGGAGTACGGCCTCGTAGACTGGCAACCAGGAAGAAGCTGTCTACTCCTAAATATATCTTGTACTAAACAAAAAAGGATAGAAAACAGGTAGTGTGCTCTCTCTTCTCGCTCTCTGGTTAATTCGCTTATGCAGTTGGTCTCACTGCTCCATCATGACCAGGAGAAGAGCTACAGCCTAAGACCCTGCAGCAGTACAAGCTAGACTGGAAAGTGACTTGCAACTCTGCAATACTCACGGTGACTCATGAGTGACGGTTATAAACAAAAAGGGAAGCCAGCGCTGTCTCCTGGAGACAAGGAGTAAAAAACTAATACAAAGAGGACGAGCCAGGTCCAGGGCCCTATGGTGGCCACTTGAGACTGAAGTCCAACCTGACTCTGTTACATGGAAATCTGTACTTCTTCCCAGAGCCTCATGCAGTAATTGTAAATATAGAATGAATAAATGAGGCAGTGATGCCTTCCCCACTTGCTTAAAACCACATTTAATCGTAAGTAAAAGTTTCTTGCAACCCACGTTCCACACATTTTATCCCACACATTTATCTAAAATTGCTGACTGCCTCTGCTCAAAGAATGAACAGTAAGCATTTTGCTCCTAACTCAGTCAAGCAACAAAAATCTCAGAGTGAGAGTAACCCTCAATTTCCACTGTGAATCACAGAAATTCCTAAAGCAACTTCTCTTATAGAATGCATTCAGCACAAGATTTTTTAAAAATGCAATCTGTATAAATCCGTAGAATTTGCAGAAGGTGATCTGTTACCATCAGTTTTCCTGACAGGATTAAGAGAATACAATACTGTGCGTAGCAGCACACATCTGTAATCCCAGCCCTCGGGAGACTGAAACAGAGGATCACCGCAAGTTTGAGTTCCAGGCCAGCCTGGGCTACAAAGTGAGTTAAGGACAGCCTGAACTGCCTAGTGAGACCCTGTCTCAAAAACAAACAAATAAAAAACCAAAGAGAATGCAACAAAAAGGTGCTTGTTATGATGCTCCAAACACCAGAATAACACCAATTTTGTTTTTTATGTGCCAAGAGGCAATCAATCACTGAAGAAAGCTTCCTAAGAAATTAGCTCTTATAGTTAAAGACTCTTTACTCTATAGCTTGAAGCACATTACTAAAGCTCTGTTACAGCAAAGGTGATTTTTTTTACTGATTCAGACAATAAACAGTTATGCACTCAAGCTAAATTTGAAAGGCAGCAGAAAACTTTTCTGCACCATTCTATAGCCTCTGATTTATATCACACAGAATAGAAGTGCATGACTAAATATCTGCTCAGCAATTTTCATGCCCTCATAGCCTCGTCATCTTTATTTCCAATCTCTCCCAGTCCACTCTCACAAGGCATTTGACAAGTTGTTCCTGTTTGTTTTTAAACAGGATTGGTTCTATTTCATTTTTATATATAGTTTCCTGAACTCATCCTTAAATATAAGTTACATATTAAGGAAAATACCTCTCGACTCTCGTTATGTTGTAGAAAATACAATACCTGACTCTCCTGGATACAAACACTTTCCAAAGGGGAGCTGCAACTGAGTGGGTTTCTAGGCTCTAAAATGCCTCACAAGAAAGTGGGAAGAAATCTTCAAGGCCCTGGATTTGATTCCAAGTACCACAAATAAAATAAAGAGAAAAACTGGGATTAATGTGAAGCCAACCCAAAGCTTTATCCCAGCAGTCAACTAGAATGGACACAAGCGCTTCTCTCTACCTAGTGAAAACATCATGTGGTAACTCAGAGGCCAGACATAAGACCTGGAAAAAAATAATTACAAATAGTCCTAAACTTGCCATAGAAAACACAAGACCGTGGTGCTAAAGGTGGAAATAGATTTACAATCTCAAACACCCAAAGCCTTCTGAATCTGAATTACCAGCTCCCTGTCTCACACTGCAATGAACTGGGCAGCAGACAGGGTGACTACAATGTATTAAGTAGCCTCTAGGCATCTGCCTTGGGGACAGACACCCAGCCACCCCAGGTGCAAATAAAAGAGGGAGTCTGAAGCTTTGTTCTCTTATCACTTACTAGATTCATGGAGAGAAAGAAGGAGAAAGACAAGAGAAATAAAATAAAAGAGAGAAAGGAGGAAAGATTTTACTTTTTAGCTTTTATATACTTTGGTGTTTTGTTTTGTTTTTTTAATTTTTAAATTTTTTTTTACTTTG